ACCGGTGGGGGGGGGGGGGCAGGAGATGGGACACGCGGATAATAGGATACTTTGGCGAAGGAGAATAGGAAGAAGGATACGGACGGGACACACACTCACACACTAGCTACGTTATGGAAATAGGGGGTAGGTTTTGTGTGCTGTGTTGTGTGTGTGTAGTGTGTGTGTGTGTGGTGTGTATGTGTTGTGTGTGTTACATGTGTGCAGTGTGTGAGTGTGTGTGTGTGTGTGTGTGTGTGCTGTGTGTGTGTGTGTGTGTGGTGTGTGTGTGTGTGTGTGTGTGTGTGTGTGTGTGTGTGTGTGTGTGTGTGTGAGTTTGTGTGACTGTGAGTGTTGTGTGTTCATATTATCCAATAATCAAAGAAACATAAAACTCTCCTTAATTCATACATATGCACTGTACATACACTACAGCTACCTTGTGCTTGAAATCTTTCAGACTGTTTACCTGTTCCAAACGTCTACTTACAAAAATCTACTTAGATTTTCTTTTTAAGTATTGAATTTACGATATCATTAACGTGACCACTCTCCGGCCTCTTAAAAAATACGAAATTCAATTTACGTCACGTGTTTCAAGTGAGACGAAGGAAAAGCACACAGCAACTTTTCGTCCGCCGAGAAGCAGACTTAGTTAGTTCTGTTGAAACTTTCTCTATAAATGTTCTTTGGTTGTTCTTATTCATAACTTTTGCAAGACTATATAATGCATAAAAGGGTATCAAAGCGAAGGGTGAGAGGGTATTTTAGAAGGAATATTCGATCGCTATAGTGTCTGAAAAGATGATTTAGGATTTTGTGTGTTTCCGGTTCTGTGACGAAAGGATGACGATTTCAGTGACGTCACCGAATGGCAATCACACACACATGCACACAGACACGTTATGCACACCACACCACACAACACACACACACACACACACGCACACACACAATACACACACCACACAATACACACACACACACACACACACACACCGCACCACGCACACACACAAACACATACACACACACACACTCACAAACAACACACACACACACACACACACACACACACACACACACACACACATATATATATATAATATATATTATATATATATATATTATATATATATATATAAGTGTTGTATGTGTTGTGTGTATGTTGTGATGTGTGTGTGTGTGTGTGTATTAGAGAGTTGAGAGGGATCCAATGTACACATCGCCCATCAATCACCATCCCACGTGACATTTCGCTGGACTTAGAGTTCCGCCATGAATTAACAACCGAAGATCAATGTCCAAAGGTGAAGTGTGGGTGACGTGAGCGAAGGTGGGTGCGAGGGTGGGGTGAAGTGAAGGCGGGAGCGAAGTTTGGTGAAGTTGGGGCGAGAGCAGGTGGGGTGTAGTGGGGCGGTGTTGAAGTTTGAAGGGGGAGCGAGTCAGTTGGAGAGAGCAGAGCAGGATGGGGGGGGCGGACGCAAGTTTAGGGTGAAGTTGAAAGGCTGAGCGAAAGCTGGGGGGAGGTGATGGAGAAAGCAGGTTGGATAGGATGCGGGGGGTGCAAAGTTTGAGTGAAGTGAGGGGAGCAAAGAAAGAAAAAGCAACTGGACGGGAAATTGAGGCAAGCAAGTATTAGAAAAAGAAAGCTGAAGGGGAGAGGAAGCAATGGCAGAAAAACAGAAAAAAAAGAGAGTCGTATGAAGGAGAGAGGAGCAAACGACAAGAAGAGCAGAGGCGAAGGAAAAGGCGAGAAAAAAGAAAGAAAGGTTGAAGAGAAGAGGAAGCAAGAGAAAATCAGAAAAAAAAGAAGGGTGAGAGGGAGAAAAAATACAAATGAAAAGAGGGGTGAAAGCATTAGAAACAAGAAGACATAATAGTAACAAAAGCAAGGAGAAGCAAGGAAACAAAAAAATAAAATTAAAAATAAAAAAAACGTTAATAATAAATGTATATACAGGATACAATTTGATATATATAAAGATAGAAAGTATGACTAATGTTAGCATTAACGAACAATTCAGTGACAATAACAATAATAATGATTAATAATTGTTGATAATAATAATTAATTGATAATAATAATAATAACATAATTAATAATAAACAATAATAACAAACAAACGCAATACAACCAGTGGCACAATACCAATAATAACGATTAATAATAATAATAAAATATGAATAACAACAATAACAATAATAAAATGATAAATTAATAATAATAATAATAATATAACAATAATAATAATAATATTAATAATAAACAATAATAATAATAATTTAATAAATATAATGCTGCTGCTGCTGCTGATGATTATTGCATGATGATGATGATTATAATGTATAATAATAATAATAATAATTAATAATATAATAATATATAATTAATAATAATAATAATAATAAAATAATAATAAAATAAGTTGATAATAATAAATAATAAAATTAACAATAATCTGATAATGACAGTTAATTAATGAAAGTCAACTGTTATTATCATAAAAACATTAAAAAAACATTAACTGCAACATTTACTAATAGGAACAAATGTAAAGATCAATTTTTGAAAAAAAAAGACAAGCAATATTTTATATGGACCATTATCATGTTCTTCGTTCAAAATAAAAAAATTGCTTGGTGGAAAATGTAGACAAAGGAAAGGAAGGAGAGGAAACAGGATAAAAGTTCGATAAGAAAGAAGAGAAAAGAAGAGAGGCAAGAAGACGAATAGAAAGGAGAAAAGAAGGAAGAAGTAAATAAAAATAGGAAGAAGAAGAAAAAAAGAAAAATGACGAAGAAGAACGAAAAACGAAGAGTACGAAGAAGAACAGATAAAGAAGAACTAGAAGAACGAAGAAGGGGAAGATGGAAGAAGAAAGAAGTGTTGGGGCGTGCACCAATCGCAGCACAAAGGTTCACGACCTCATCAGCTGCCCCTGTGGAGGGGGGCGTGGGCAGGGGCCAGGGATGGGGGGAGACATGAGGGGAGAGGGGGGCGGATGGGGAAGGGAGGAGGAGGCTATGGGATTGGTGAGGGGAAAGGTGAGAGGGGATGAGAGGGCGGAAGAGGAGGGGGATGGATGAGAGTGGAAGAAAAGGGGAGAAGGTGAGGGGATGGAGAGGAAGTGAGAAACGGGGAGAAGTTTGAGGGGAAAGGGGAGAGGAGAGGAAGAAAGGAGAAGGAGGAAGAGCGAGGAAAAGAAGAGGAATGAAAGAAAGGAAAAGGCCCAAAGGGAAGGGAGAATGAAAAGGAAAGTAAGGGAAAAAAAAGAAAGGGAGGAGGAGCAGGGGGGGAAATTTCCCTC